GAAAAATCTTTTCGGGCTGGTAAACAAGTGCCTGTCGCCGAAGCATGCCGGATTCGACAAATGCAACAAGCAGATCCTGCTCATCTTCCATGGCATTGCCTTCAACAAGAACTACGACATGGCACAGCTCTTCTTCTCAGAGCTAATGGACCTGGTCAAGGCCAAAGAAAAGAATAGGCCAGGTACCATTCCGTACGCTAGGTGGCTTGGGTTGATCATCAACGACCTCATGGCAGAGCATTCAACAATCCCAAAACGCAGCTCCGATCCTCATTTCAAAGCCCCAAAGCTGCAATACTTCAAAGCGGACAAAAACCCGACTTACGGTCTGAGGATTCCTGGGTTTCTGATCAACCTCGTGAGATCTTCAAACCCAGCCATTCAACAATACAAGGAAGCAATCGAGAAGACCGTCCCTATGGTTCAGCAAAACCCAGCTGGACCTACCCAAGGGACAAAACCGAGTGTTGGTAAGGGTCCTACGAGAGCCCAAAAGCCACAGAAACCAGTGGCCGGTTTGCCCAATGAAGGGAAGTCTGACGACTCTCTAGAGACGAGTCAGGCGGCTGAGGGCACCGAGGAAGACGCTAAGGAAACGGCCAGTGAATCGTCTAGTGGAGCCCAAACAAACACTGACGACAAGGCCTCCGAGAGCGTGGGCACGGAGAGTGACAAATCAGACTCGGATGATGACAGTGATGACAATGATAGTGATGATGTGGAGCTCACATATGCACTAATTAGAAAAGGGAAGCTGCCCGTCGAATCTCCAAAGAAGAGAAGAATCACTGCTGAAGACGCAACACCAATCATAGCTCGCAGACCTCAAGTCTTCACTATTAAAGAAACAGCTAAACCAAGAGCTGATCCGAGCGAGACAAATTGCTCAAAGGATGATTACGACGAGGCAGCTCACTCCATCAACACATCAATCAACCAGGAAGAAGTTGTCATCCGAGAGACAAGGGCTAAAGTCAAAAATGACAAGGTTGCTAAGGCCAGGCCCCAGTCCCGGGCGACAAAGAGTCTGTTTGATAAGGCAGACGAGCACATCTTTGCTGGCTGTGACTCCGTTATCCAGATAAGCCGAGCCGAATCCCTAAGCACAGGAGCCGATCTTTTCGGTTCCCGAGTAGAAGTCGCAGCATCTGGCTCAACTGCGCATGCACAGCCCTCTCCCAGCCACTCAATTGCCTCTCAAAAGGTTATTGTTTCAAAAGAACGGGACTCAACCCCCTCGCTGGTTCCTTCTGAATCAGTTGAGCATACAATTGACCTATCTCCCGAGGTCAAAACCCCTTCTTCACTCACATCGAGTCTAGGTGTCACATTTCCCACATTTTCTTCCTTTTCTAGGACACCTACACTATTCACAGCACATACAGGTGCACTCACTTTGAATGCAACAACCAGAGCGCAAGCTATGACGGTTGGAAGCCCTGCTACGCCCATAATGATTCCATCATTAAATGCAGGCCACACATCAGCAATCTTCACTGATGCTGTGTCAACAGTTACAACCCCCGTAACTGGTCACCCTACCTTTGAAGACGTAAACGTTCTACTAAATCGCTTCCTAGATTCCACCATTAAACCATGGGTGCAAGATGCAATGACCGCTCTAGCACAGGAATTTAGGACCACCCAAGCGGTTCGGTCTGAACAGACACCACCCCAACCTTCCCCTGAACCGTTCATCTCTCATACACAACCCATATCCTCCACCCCTCTATCCCACTAATCCATCAACCAAATCACTATCCCTTCTATTTCTCGGGGAACCCAGAATACAGAACCAGTATTCTCCCCACACCCGACCACATCCTCCATCGATCTCTCCTCCCTATCCTTTGACACCCTAGCTTCGGCTTTGCTGAATAACCTTTTAAATACCCCAGAAAACGACCTCACTCTACATCAGCAAGCCATACTAGAAGCTCTTCTTTCCTCACCCGAAACCAAGAGTACTTGCAAGGAGAGTCTTCGTGGTCGCAAACGTTCCCATGAGGACCCCGATGATTCGGATCCTCATGAGGGGGAGAACAAGCGACCTCGATCACTTGAGCAAACTACTCTTCCAAGCCAAACTCCACAGCCAATTCAACCTGAAACCTCAACAAATCAACAGCCACCACCCACAGCCAAACTCTCTAGCGTGGTCGAGCTAGAAATAACATCCCGAGGCGTATCTCCTAGAGATACCAACCGAGGAGGGGATGGAAGTCCTGATGATGATACCACTGGTACATCTTCTCCATCAGGCCATCAGTTGGAACCTAGTTCTAAGCTGATGTCAATGGGCAATCCTAGTGAACCCGGTAGTGCTACACAGGAACAATCACCGCCTAAACAAAGAACTCCATACATCTCCCCAGGCAAAGACATCCATGATGCACTGGAAGAGGCGGTGATATACGACAAATGGCCGAGAAAATGGACAGAATGGGATGATCTCCGGGTTGAAGCCGAGCAAGAAGACATGCAAAGAAACTGGTGGCTACGAGAGCTTATTAACAAATGCTCGGAAGATATCATTAGGCTCAAGGACGATGAACGCAAGGAAGGGGAGAACTACAAGGAATCCCAGAAAGCTCTTGAATCGGTCGTAAGACAATCAGCGGGAAGACTTCCCAAGACAGAGAAACCCTGGGACAACGTTCGAATCAAAGCCCCCTTCCAAGAAGAAATCAGAGAGCATATCTGGCGTAGACCAGACAAAGTCAAGCCACTGAACGAACTGAAGCTAAGAGGTCTTACACACTTAAAAGGAAAACAGGCTGGAGGTCATCTGCACATGTTGCTGCAAAGGTCAACCGGTACACAGAGAGAACTGATGGAACAAGATCTGAAGTCAAATATTCTCCCGATTCATCAAATTCTACAAGTGAAAGCTGAAGACTATCATGGAGTAACATTTTACACTTTCAGACTTCAACGCACCGATGGGAGCGAATTCACTTGTCAAGAGAACGACTTCATCATGCTGAAACCGGATGACATCTATCAAATGCTCATGGCCTACAGATACCTTCCAGTAAGGCAAAACATAGTATACAGCGAAGGCCTCGCAGCTATCAAGAGATTCATGCTTAGACAGATCCGAGTACACTCCTCACATGACCTACAAATGGCTATTGAATGCAATCTGAAGAAGACAAATCTGACAAAGCCAAAACTGTATGGTCCAGAACTTGAAGATTTCCCAGCCTATCACATCTTCTTCAAACCGCCAGCAGTCACCTACCTGAACCACAAGAACGAAAAGCGTCTGATGGTAGTCAGTGAAATCGAGAAATACTGCGACGGAACACTGAAGATAATCAGAGAGCAGATTCTACAGATGAAGGCAAAGCTGGAAGAAAATCTTCAAGAGGCATCGTCTTATGTTCAAAAGGAACACTCTACTATGGAGACAATTTTAAAGGCCATTGACGATCGCCTCGAAAAGAGAAATATGCTAAGACAGTATGAACATGCACTTGGATTAAGGAAGCACTACTTCAAATCACAGAAGCAATAAGAGAATGACACTTGATCACAAAGGGGGAGATTGTTGGAGATATTTTATTGTGAATCAAGTTGGTCATAGATTAGCTTTATATTTAATCATTGTATTTAAATAGTGCATAAATTAGATAGAAATCAGGCCAAGTGTTAGGCCCATTTAAACAGGCCAAAAGCCTGTTACGCCTAACCTAAACCTCGCCTATAAAAAGGGAGCCGAGGTTTAGGAAAAGGTTGAACGTCGTACTTATTATTCATAGCCTTAAGCTTATATCATTCTGCTGTACGTTCCACGGTTTATCAAAGAAGGTTTTACGGTGATTCATTCTGTATTCATCCTTACCATTAATCTTCCTTGTTAGATCGATTATTCATTGCTGTTACAGAAACAGGGACTAACAAAAGGGTTGCATGAACAAATCATCAGAAGTATCGGCAACGACGGAGCAAACCTTTGGCTCAGATGAGTCCATGGATATGACAGTGACGGAGGTCGGAGATGAAGCCTCAAAAACCTGACAAGTGTCGTACAGATGAAGATTAGGGTTTGGACAGATTTCGTATTCAGTCACACCTGAAGGTTCGAGGGAGAATTCAGATGATTTTTCTCAAGGGTTACACAGAGTGAGATGAGCGGTTGGCTTGAGGAAGGTGAGATGAGAGATGAAGGGTCAGACGAGAGGAAAGGAGAAGCGACGGGTAAAGTGGGAGAGAGGAGAGAGGTACTCCGTATAAGGATGAAATGATGGGTATTTGTGGGTGAGGGTATTTTAGGGAGTATTGGAGTATTAGGTTGCCTAAAATAGAAACGGGACAATTATTTCGGGACGGACCGAAAAGGAAACTGGGACATTTATTTCGGGACGGAGGGAGTAATATTTATTACAATATCAATTTTTCCATCATTTGCAATGGAGCCAAAGATTTATTATTATTTGGCTTGAGATTATGATGGAATAAAGCAAAATGGCTCACTAAACTGTCTGCGCTTCTTTGTTATGAAGCAGCTGTCAGTCCATGCAATTTTGGACGGGATTTTCACTATGGGTCATCCGGAAACAGTCTCTCTGTGCTTTAATGCAGGGGTAAGACTGCGTACATCCGACCCCCCCTTACCCCACTGTAGGTGGGAGCCTTTGCGGCACTGGGGTAAATGAAAATGAAAAATGAAAAATGAGAAACTTCTTTCTCCTTTATCAGATTATCATGCTTACATTCCAGTCATGGAGATTTGCCAAGAGAAACCGCAAAGTTCCTCGCAATTTCCGGTACATTTCAGACATTTGACGGAGGACTTGAGGGCCCATACATACATCTCCGGTAAAATCAACACTTGAAACCCATAGTCTCAAAACATCAGCACCATAGGGTGGTGCTTCCTGTCAAATATGAGGTGTAAAAAAACTTGCAAATTACAATCCAGGAACTGAGATTGTTTAAAGCCGATTTACCAACTAATGACAAACCTACCTTTTCGTTTTTCCCTCCTTCAATTACAGTTATGGGATCAACAACATTGCCCAAAGATTTACTCATCTTGAGCCCTTTCTCATCCAGGACAAATCCATGTGTAATGACGCCAGAATAAGGGGCTTTTCCTGTAATGCTTTTTATTGATCATGAGAACATAAGTTATCTTGGGAAAAGCAATATGAAGTCTAACTGTGTGTGATATAGAACCACTATGAAAATTAATACATGGAAGAAGAACGGACAGAAACCTATACAAGCAGCAAAAAGTGTATAAAACCGTTCATATCTATAAATAAATGATACATGATGGAAGCAAGTGAAAACACTATTATCATGTGACCTTTGCTTGCAATGCTTGTCAGCAAAGAGCTCTGAAACCAACCACGATGCTGATCTGTTCCCTCAAGATACAGATCTGCAGGGTATTGAAGGTCGCTCCTCTTTTCCAGCACAGCAGCCCATGAAGAGCCTGAGGGGAAAAAAAAGTTTGCATCACTGGTGAAGAGGGTTGATGAATAAAGATAACATTGGACTAAGACTCATAATACCTGAGTCAAACCAAACATCCATTGTATCTGTCCCTTTCTTGTATTCTGATGCTCTGTCACGATAGTTATCAGGAAGTAAATCCTCGACCGTCATATGCCACCATGCATCGCTACCCTTTTGAGAAATGATCGCTGAAAAATATATATTTAAAATTTCAATATATTTTCATGTTTCAATGGCACATATCACTTTCTCAAGCCTAAAAAAATCTATGCTTTTGAGCACTATTGCATAACAATACAACAGATATAGTTATATGCTTTATCTAAGGAGATCTTATATCAAATTAATGATTCAAAATAGTAACTACATTTCCATTACTCAAGTTTTAAAGATAAAATACACGTAAATCGTGGCAGGAAGAGTTTTACATCTAATGTGGTTGATTGTTTCTTCTTTTAGAAGTGGCTTCTTCGATGCCAGGTGATAAAATACAGGAATGGGAACACCCCATGTCTTTTTCCGGGATATACACCAATCATAGCGGCTAGAAATCATTGCAGAAATACGATTCACCGCCTGGAAATAAAAATAGTCACGAAGTTCAGAAAAATATCGAATACGGATGAGATTAAGTAAAATCTACACGTTAAAACCCAAATCTATGATTAACCAAAACTAGTTGTTAAATCCTAAGAAGAGAATACTAACAATATGCAACCCATACATCTATAGGTCTGAAAATGAGCACTCATGATAACTTTTTCACACCCAAATGGAAATAGTGACAAATGACAGTCCACCATTAAACTAATACATAGTAGAATGCGTTAATTGACATTTTACAGAAGTCAAGGGTGTACAGTCAAATACCTGTGGCGGTACCCAATTAACTCCCTTGACTGCATCTATTGCAGCTTCTCGAAATCCTTCCACAGAGGCAAACCATTGCTCAGTTTCCCGGATTATTGTAGGCTTCTTATCTCTCCAGTCATATGGATACTTGTGTTCTGTACAGGTATTTCTTAGAAACTTATAGAGGAAATTTAATTACAAAACCTTGTATAAATGAACTTAATCTACGTTGTTAAAACAGGATATAACTCACTATACGGCTCCATCAGGATCATTGAGTGATGTTCGTCCAAGTATTGAATCACAGCAGTGTTCCCATTCCCAAGCACGTCAAGGCCGCTGAATGGTCCTGCTTCTTCAGTAAATTTTCCATCATCATCTACCGGTGAAAGTATTGGCAAGCCATATTTGAGGCCAGTAATGTAATCTTCCTGACCATGGCCAGGTGCTGTATGAACTAGCCCTGTTCCTGACTCGGTAGTAATATAGTCACCACCAATGACAACAGGAGTACAGGACACTCTCGGTTGTCTATGGGATGGGTGTACCTGAAAATGAAAATATATAAACGAAGTCAAGATTGTAGAGAAATAAAGGTGATTGGTTCCTGCTAAAGATTAGTGGAAGAACCTTCTGCATCAAATTTAACTATCTGTACATGGATAACACACGGGTACTAACAAACACAAGAAAATAGTCATACATTTAAAAAGTGGAAGTGATAGGACGAGTCACTCAACGCCTTATATCACTCTGTATCTTTATATTTGACTAATCTAACTCATTCCAATGTTTGGGACTGCATCATATGTTATAAGTGTGACTTATTGCCCAAATGGCTTGTTTTCTGCTAAAATCCAAATTAGTCTTAGACTCATAGGTAAAACACACAGATTCCTCGCTCCATCAGTACTCATGAAATAAAGTACGGAGTATGTTTTTTAAAAGTAATTCGTCAACCAAACTATTTACCTGGACTGGTGACAATTTTGTTAAGAGGAATTTCAACAATTGAGGTCATTATTAGGTTAGTGACCACATATAACATTGTAAGACTACATAAATCAAAATTGGGACAAGATTGTTTCTGCTTCCTAAATAATACGGAGTAAAAAATTGCAAAAGGGCTTCGTTGTGAAGCACAGTATAATCCCCATATCACTCATGTTCATTGCACTAGGGCTTGTGTAACTTCTACAAGAAACCCTAATCAAGCCCAAATTACTTAAACCCTAATTAAGCCCAATTTAACTTAACTAACCACTCTACTAATAATAGGCCCAACTAAAACATAATGATAAATTTTATAAATAAATAAAACTATAATCCCTAGCCCAGAACCGGCCCACGGAAGTGAGCCCAATCCCGTTCCCGCCCCAGATTCTTCTTGCTCTCTATCAATCCATCCCCCTTCAAATAACCTTGTCCTCAAGGTTGTAATTTCGCAGATCGAGGACTGAAATTTCCAACCATGGAATAGACTGGAAAATATCCTTCATCGTCTTCCAGAACCTTTTCCCGACCAGTTATTTCACAGTACTCATGTTGCTGGAGGTCCAACTCCTCATCCTCCTCAGCTATCATTACCCGCAACTGCTTAAAGGGGCAGTCATGCCCTGGTGTAAATGGTTTCTTACACCTAAAGCATAATCCTTTCGCCCGCAATTCTGCAAACTCTTTCGGCGGAAGTCGAGTGAACTGTGAGCGTGTCGTGAGCTGCCCGGACAGCCCTGACTTTGTCCCCGGAGGCTGCCCAATGTCTTTAGGAAAGCTACCATTCGATCCTCTTAAGCTGCCACCACCTATGGCCGTGCTTTTACTGCCAGTTGGGCGCAAAAAACTGCTCGAATGCAAGTTTGTGTCGAAGGGTTGACTTTCCCAGTCTCCCTCTTGAAAGGACAAGTTGTGCTCAATATCTTTGGCCAACTCCATTGCAATCTCCAGGCTTTTTGGCCGCAGCAATCGTAAGGATCCCCGAATCGGTCCCTTCAGCCCGTTCATGAAATACCCCAAATAGTGATCATCGGACAGTCCAGGAACTTGACTGGCCAACTGCACAAAAAGGTTATTGTATTCTTCTATGGTTCCCAACTGTTTGGCCCCGGACAGCCGTTCAAATCGGTTGCCCTTGAACCGTGAATCAAAACGGGCCACCAGTGCATCTGTGAATTCCTCCCAAGTCAGGCCCGGTTTACGTGCCCTCAACCAGGTCAACCAGTACAGGGCAGCCCCTTCCATGGCTACAGTAGCTGCTGCCACTTTGCTTCCAGGTAGGGTTTGATGAAGTTCAAACTGCTGCTCAGCTCTGGCCACCCATCCGATGGGATCTGCGCCATCAAACGCAGGCAACAAGGTCGGAGTTGTGATGCGCGGCAAACCTTCGCCGCTGGTTGGAGTTGTGGCGTGCGGCAAACCTTCGCCGCTGGTTGGAGTTGTGGTGCGCGGCAATCCTTCGCCGCTGGGCGCGGTCGCTGCTGTGCTTCCGACGGCCGCCGTGGATGTTTCCGGCGACACTGGCGGCACAAGGGCATGCGTCAGCGCTGCCAGGGAGGCGACGATCTCCGCCAGCTTTGCATCGTGGTCTTCGAGCGTCTGGTTCTTGCGCTTCTGCTCGAGTGCCATCCGGGTTTGCTCAGCCCCCAGTCGGGCCACTTCCTCTCCCATTCGGTTCTGCTCGTTTTCCATCTCTGTCAAGCGTTCAATCTGAGTTCTGGTCATCTTGGCGGGACGGGATCCGGCAGGTCGGACCAATTAATGTGTAGCAGAAAAATAAAATCAACGGGATGAACCGTTGCCCATATAATCAACGATAAAAATACCGTTGCCCAAAGCCAAAAGGCTAAACCAACTTTTATTCCCAGATAATCAGAATGAACCCTATCAAGGGGTATAAATAGCTTCTACAAGAAACCCTAATCAAGCCCAAATTACTTAAACCCTAATTAAGCCCAATTTAACTTAACTAACCACTCTACTAATAATAGGCCCAACTAAAACATAATGATAAATTTTATAAATAAATAAAACTATAATCCCTAGCCCAGAACCGGCCCACGGAAGTGAGCCCAATCCCGTTCCCGCCCCAGATTCTTCTTGCTCTCTATCAGCAATACACACGTTGTAACTATTTCACAACCCTTGTATTTCTGCACTTTTTCAGAGATATTTGGGTTCAAGAGGACATTGTTTCTACAGATTGGTCAGAAATTTTAACCTTCCAGATTTAGGTGCCACAGAGTTGCTAGAAATTTTTCACCATTGTTGAGACCAACAAGTGAGATAACTAGATTTGGGTTATTTGTTGATATTCTTTATGGAAGACAAACTCCCAATTTCACCATTTAAAATTGTGTACTGATGTATGTTTACGAGATATTGAATTTATTTCTTATTCACATGTTATGCATATTGAACTTTGTTATTACAGTATATTTTTTTCTTCTGGTATCCAAAGTTAAACACTGATATCAGCAGGTTCTTCTGTACATCAGGCAACTATTTTTGATGATCCTAATATGGTCTCTAAGGCTTCCGATCCTTAGTGAACAAGCTATAAGGAAGAACAATGTCAAATGATGAAGTGGCTGACGGAAATCACGGAATATGTTAGTTTGTAGTGAGGAACGTTAAAGAAGGGTAGTTTTAGACCCACTTTCAAATTTAGGAGTTTTTTTGTTCCAAAAAATAGAACACGGGTATATATGTTCTCACACACGTAGTATAGGGGTATATTTGTGCCATTTCCCATTTTTTAATACTAAACAAACTGGTGTCTTCTAATAAACTCCCATACTACCAAAATATTTTTTTATTCTTTTTTATTTAAAATAGAAGCACCTCATATGTTTAATTGATTATCAATTGATAGGTCCAGTGAAAAGATCCCAGCAGAGGAGGCCACAGTTAGTACCTGGGATGTTATAAAGATCCGATGCAATGCATCAGCATCATTTTTGGGTTCATGTGCTGCTTCCTTTAACCGTACAGCAAGTGTGGTATCCGAAGTGTGCAGATAGACCATTGCCTCTAAATTGGCACCGATCAACTTCCCAGCACCTGCAACTTCGAGTGCTTTGTTCACTTCAGTTCCCAGCTGATAATAAAGGTAGTTCAATTAACTTAGTATAATACTAGTAATACATATCTAAGGTAAATCCCATCAACAGTTGTAAGCTATTTGATTTTGACCCCCCTCACCCCCACATTGGATCTCGATAACACATTTAATCAAAAGACAATCATAATCTGCAATGCTGTTTCATAACACTTCTATCGGTCACATATAAAGATTATAAAGTGGTACCTCAAGAACTTTGCCCCAGAAATCGATGTCTTCCACTGGGAAGGAAAGATGTTTCTCATTTGTTACTGGCCAGCCTGACTCGAAGACAAACTTGGCAACATTTCCATCTTCAGTATTATACGGGAAAGGAAGATGCTGCCAGACATCCTCAGCCAGATGGGGTAAAATTGGAGCAATTATCCGTGTAATTGAAAGTAAATGAGTAGCAAGAACAGTTTGACAACTTCTTGCAAAACTACTACTCCCACTGCAAATTAACGATTTAAACAAGTATGCAAATTTTATAAGCAACCACAAAAGAAGAAGAAAACATGTCATCCACAGAAGAACAAACCTTTTGGACGCATAATATGGAGTGTTTAGGATTTACAAAGAAGCAAGCTACTAGTTAGTCCATTAGGTGAAAACTAATTCTCGAAGTAGAAATCTGATCAAGCAAACACTTAACATTTCTTACTTATTAGTTCACTAGTTATTTCTTTCGAACATTCCATTAAAGGACCTTGGTAAATATATGCTAAATCATACAACAGACACAGTTTGTAAGTGTTCATAATATTTCAGAACTCACCCAACATAAAGTCAATCTGTTGCTACATCAAAGTAAAAGTTGGAGAGATCAACAATGGCAAAGCGTTGAACAATCTACACGGATTAAAAATAAGTTAAGTCATAAGAAAGCAATAGGATAATTATAGTTCTCTGGCTGCTTTTGTTTGTTACCTGATAAATCTTATAAAACTGATAATTGTCATAGCTTTCTTTGATGCTTTTCACAATGGAGGAAAGCTAAAATAGTGCATGCTGATCAATGATTGGAAGGTCACGGTATGGAACTTCATAGCCGAACTGCAGAAAAAATAAACAGCTCTTCAGATACATGCAAAATGAAATGCACATCAAAAACTTGGATGAGCTTACTACAAGATACTTTTACGAACTACATATCAAAGGACCATGCAAAATAGGACTGTAAAATGACTAGAGTATACATGTCATCCAAAATGATAGAAAGGTTTACGGTAGAGAGAATGACCACACACAAAAAAGTTCACTGGGAATCTTATATTTCTAAATAACATTTTTTACTTACAAAGGTTGAAAGCTACAAGATAAACAACTACTATTTTCCATGAATCGAGAAACTTCTTTCTCCTTTCTCAGATTATCATGCTTACATTCCAGTCATGGAGATTTGCCAATATAA